GTCCAGCCTTAAAAGTTCATTGTTTTAGGATTAGCCAGAAAGGAAATATTTTTTTAAATTGTAAGCTCTCTACAGAAGAGGGTAACACTTTCCTTCCCATCTTTGGGGACTCTGTTCTTGTGTGTGTTTTCTTGCTTTTCCCATCTCTCCTGCTCCTCTTTTCCCCACATGCACACTGGCTGAGGACCCTTTCTCCTCACTAGAAAAGGCCCTGCCATTCTGCTTTTCCTCTGGCAACTGCTCCTTTCATTCATGCTGCAAGAAGCATGAGCAGAGCAAAGGGCCTAACGTCATGAGAAATGGCTAAGTCATCTAGACCTCTGTCTTCTGTTTTAGATTTTTTCTTGTTATGTGTTCTTTGGTGGTTCTCATGATTTTGTCATTGATGTTTATGTAGCAAGTTAAAAGCTGCTGAGATTCAGGAGTTTGAGTTTAGGATTGAAGAAGGAATAGGACCCCCTGACTAATGCCTTAGCCTAAAGCAAGCAAGAGTTCTTCTGCCTTAGTGTTTGAGATATAGGTTCTTTGGTTTCCATTTTGTGTTGTTTGTTTTTCTCCCTCAGGATATCATGGGGGAAAATGATGCCTGGACTAAGGCAAAAAGAATAAGGATATCTGGGTCCTCTAGCCAAATACCATCTTAAAGGCACCAAAACTCAAAATTAATACCTAACATTAATATAGTGTGGTAAGTGACATAGAGATACCTATAAGTTACAGTGTCACCATAGAGTAACACAGAACTCTGTCACTGAATGATGTATGACCTAAGTATTGAAAGATGAGTTTAGTTAGAAAAGGTGTATATTCCAGGAAGAAATTATAGGTATGAAGTTATCATGAAAGTTGATGACATGGCATGTTTGGGATCTGAATATCAAACTCCTTTTATTTTTCTCTTGATGTTATTTATCAAAGAGTTGGCCCTAATATTGTGTAATTTTGAATTTTATTTTTAAAAGGTGCTTCCTGGGTGAGCTGGGGTTTAGTCAAAGGTGCTGAATTTACTGGCAAAGCAATCCAGAAAGGTGCTTCTAAACTCCGAGAACGGATTCAACCAGAAGAAAAACCAGTGGAAGTTAGTCCAGCTGTCACCAAGGGACTTTATATAGCGAAGCAGGCTACAGGAGGAGCAGCAAAAGTCAGTCAATTCCTGGGTAAAGTAATTTTAGATGACTTCTTTAAAGTTAAATTTTAAAATAATCTCTTAATCCAAATATTTATTTGGATTTAATGATGATTTAATCTCAAGAATAAAGAATTAAAACAAAGCAGTTTCTCCTTGCTACTCACAATGGGATCTATGAACCAGCAACATCAGGCTATCTGGGAGCCTTAAAAATGCAGAATTTCAGGCCCCAGACATACCTGCTGATTCAGAATCTGCATTTTTACAAGATCCCTAGGTGATTGATATTTGCATATTAAAGTTTGAGAAACTCTGGTTAAAGGGTGGTTTTGATTGGTTGGAGAGAACAGTGTGTATCTTGCAAGAGGAGTTCAGAATGTACAGTCTTGTGTCACCTAATGACAAGGATACATTCTGAAAAATGTGTCATTAGGTGATTTCATCATTATGTGAACATCCTAGAGTGCACTTACACAAACTAGATGGTATAGCCTATTGCTCCTTGGCTGCAAACCTGTACAGCAAGGTACTGTACTGAATACTGTAGGCAATTAGGATACAATGGTAAGTATTTATGTATCTAAACATAGAAAAGGTATAGTAGAAATACAGTATGAGAGAGAAAAAATGGTACACCTGTATAGGGCACTTATCATGAATGTTATTTGCAGAACTGAAAGTTGCTCTGGGTGAGTCAGTAAGTGGTGAGTGCATGTGAAGGCCTGGGACATTAGTGTACACTTGGGTCAAACTAAATTTATTTTTTAAAAAAAGTAATTGTGCTACAGTGTTACAATGGCTGTGATGTCACTAGGGTATAGGAATATTTCAGCTCCATTTTAATCTCATGGGACCACCATCATATACACAACAAAATGACCAAAATGTCATCATGTGGCATGTGACTGAATTTGTTATTCTTGAATCCATCTGAGGGATATGACATATTCTTTTAAGCACAGCAGTTCTCTGCATAGAAGTTGATGGTCAAGAGGGAGGGATATATTGTTTGAGAAAAGCTGACTTAGTGATTCCTAAGCAATATACTTCTGTCCCCTTGTCCTTTGAGAATCAGAAGGCTAAAGATTACTGTTTTAAGATGGTCAGATAGGACCTTAATGGATTACCATTAAATTTAGTAAGACTATCTTTTTTAGTATTTGTTGAAGCAGATTTTGGGCTGTTTACTTTTACAGACTTAAATACCTTATTATTTCACTGAGATATTTACTGATAGAAAAATACAAATACACATAACTGGCCAGCGCTAAAGATGTACCTACCAATCTTGCATTGCAACAGTCAGAAAAGGAGGATGGTTTTCTCAAACAGAAGTGCCAAGAACATGTATATCTAAGAGATGAGGTTATAACCATCAGGAGGCTCTGGAAACACATTTTTAAAGCAAACAATAGCCTTTGTTTAAAAAAAAATTGCCTGGCTGTGGTGTGTGCCAGTAGTTTCAGCTACTTGGGAGGCTGAGGCAGGAAGATCACTTGGGCCCAGGAGTTCAAGGCCAGCCTGGACAATGTAGTGAGATCCTATTTCAAAAAAAAAAAAAAAAAGCCCCAGTCTAGCTTCTCATCCTTAAGTAGAAATGGTAACATTATGGAGTAAAACAATTTTAGATCCTCACTTAACAATTTTGCAATGGATGGTAAAATCAAGGGAAGAATATGTTTTTTTCTAAATTTTCTTTTTTTTATTATATTAGTTGATGGAGTTTGCACAGTAGCAAATTGTGTTGGAAGAGAACTAGCTCCACACGTCAAGAAGCATGGAAGCAAACTTGTTCCAGAATCTCTTAAAAAAGACAAAGATGGGAAATCTCCCCTGGATGGTGCTATGGTTGTAGCAGCAAGTAGTGTTCAAGGTAACAAAAGGGCCCAGAATTTTAACTAGGAAGGTCTGTTTGCTTTGGACTAGATTTACTTACTTTTAAATATATTTGCAGGATTTTCAACTGTCTGGCAAGGATTGGAATGTGCAGCTAAATGCATTGTTAACAACGTTTCAGCAGAAACTGTACAAACTGTCAAATACAAGTAAGTTGAATTTAAAATGTCATTAAAATGATTTTTAATGACTAAATCTTTTGTAGCATTTGTAAAAATCCATGACAGTTAATTATGTAAGCTGGGTGGGGTGGCTCACACCTGTGATTCCACACTTTGGGAGGTCTAGGTGGGAGGATCACATGAGGCCAGGAGTTCGAGACCAGCCTGGGCAACATAGAAGGATCCCATCTTTAAAAAAAAAGGTAATTATGTAGTTATTTTTATTAAGTATTTGATCAAACAATTTTTTCACTCACTGTTTTTCTTCAATAGTGAAAATAATATTTTTGGTAAAGTAGAATTCTTGTGACTTTGTATTAGTAATTGTTATAAATATTCATTATTAAAGAATAGGTTTAATTTTTTTTAAAAGCCTGGAATTTCTGTATACCTTATTAACTACATGTTCTTGGTGGGTGATATCTGCCTGAAAAACTTGAATTATAATTAAACTGTTATACCCCCTGTTAGCCCATTCTGTATACAAAAATTGTAAAATTTCGTCACATCTTACTTGACTCTAATTACCACTGTACATTTGTATCGGGATAGACAAATGGTATGTCTTCTTCATATATTAAAAATGGACAGGTGTAGAAATGAATGCATTGCACAAGCTTACATGATAAGTGGTGTTGATTTCTTTCTAATTTGGCCTTAAGATCTCTCTAGAGAGTGGCTATAAATTGTAGTCTTGCCCTTAACGAGGCCCTAGGGGAGGTGGTTGTGGATGTTTACAGTGTGCCTTTCATGGGATACTTCTTTATCCTGGTGGACAGCCTAATGCCTAAGTGACCTGTGACCAGGTGTCCCTCTTTCAGGAAATTTGTTTATACTGGTATATACGCTTATGGCTCTTATCTGACCTGTGTCCAATTTATTCCTACTAAGTCATTCTAAAGGAGACCCGTAACTAGGAGGAGAGTTAGGTTTGGGTGTGTTGGTCAGGTGAAACACAGGAAGCAGCACAAAAAAACACATGAATTAATAGAAGCATTTTATTACAGATCCATGAGAGAAGAGGGGTGTCCATGAGGGCTGATGGAACTTCCTGGAGATAGCAGGGTGCTCAGTCAGCAGATGGGGGAAGGAGGGAATGAGCACACATGTATGTGAGAGAGAAGGGGCCCTGTGGGACCGTGCCTTCATTAAGGTCCATGGATGTTATCCCTTTGGCTTTTCAGTGGGAGATATGGATTGACTAGTGTAAAGAAAACATGTGTGAAGGGGAGAACTTATTTACTTGACTCTGGTGTTGGCTGTTGCGTTTTCTTGTGGTCAGCAGCTGTGGGATGTGTTGAATTTTGAGTCAGGGAGATGAGGAACAAGTGAGTTCTATTGCAGACAACCACATGGGGAGGGGGAAGTTTTAACTAGGCCAAAGGTGATAGGATACAACTGGGTTTGAAATACTTATATCAGACCTAAAGAGTGAATGCTGAAGCAGCAACTATGTTAAACAAATTTATGACAAGTGGTATTAAAGATGAGATTTAAAACAGAATCTTCTGCTTTTAGCTCTTTGTTCTTTCTACCTGACAATACTGTCTTTACACAGTATTAAAAGAATCAAGGTCTAAAAACTAAATCTAGTATGATGGACCTGAGTTGCTTTCTTAGCTTTGAATTAGTTTGGATCTTACTGTTTATTTAGAAAGAAAAAAGAAGAGAGTAATATTAGTGGTGTTCACAATTCTTTCTTATTTGTGTTAATTATCCACTTACTGATACCATTTATTTGAGTTCATACTTATGTGTCAGGCACTATGTTCAGTGCCTTCATATATGTTATTTAATTTTTAATACTGTTACTATCTCCATTTTATAGATCTGGAAACCAAAGCATAGAGACTTAAATAACTTACTAAAGATTGCACCCCTAGTAAGAAGTAGAGCTGGAATATAAACCAAGTGTTTCTGTCATTAGAATGTGTGCTCTGAAGTGCAGAGAAAAGTGCTGGGCCACCACTGCCCTTGGTGGGTAATCTGTGCAGGCTTAGTACTTTCCAGCATTATCTTAACATGTTTTTAGATTCCCTCCCACCACAATAAATTGCTTTTGACTTAGGAAATACTAACTTAATTTCCATCCTAAGTTAGTTTGACCTGCTCTGTTTGGGGTACGCATATCTTCAAGTCAAAGCAACGTAGCACATCTTCTTGGGTTGTCAGTTTTACAAAAAACAGTTGAAAATGAGAATATAGAGTATATCTGAGATTCTTTTGATGGAAATGTAAAACTCAAGTCTTCCGTTGCACATCTTGCCACTTGTTGCATTGACCTGTGTCTGATACTCATTAATTTTTTTCTGCCCTTGAGGTTAGTTACTGGATGGATCAGTCATAATTAGAAAAATAGTTTCTTTATTTGTAGCAACAGCAGGAGGAAGTCAGAAGTACCTTTAGGCCAAAAGTGAATTATTTTTAGATTGTCATTATGATTTGTTGTTAGCACAGATAATTAGGCAATCATATTAGAAAGTAGGTAGTGCTTTGTTGGATTTGCCCTTTTCCTACTCCAATGAAAAAAATACTTACCTAACTACAATGGGCTTATTAAAAGTTTGAGATTCACATAACTAGGAAGTACTGGGTTTTGATGTAAATTTTGTATTTCTGGTCCTTAGCAAGGAGAACTTAATGTGATGAATAGGGTATTTTAACAGTGGTTCTGAGCTAATTTATTTCTATTATGGTATGTATTGCTATTATTTTTATTCTTTCCTCCAAAGATTCATGGAATAAATACAAATCATGTAAGTGAGAATTTAGTTAAGTAGCTTTGTATTTCTAACTGTGAGGATGATTATCTTAGCAGTAATTTAATTTCTACTATTAGAGACTTGGAAAGATGGGAGAGGCAGTAGGGAGTAAAGGATTTACCCAGGTAATGCTGTTTTCTCACCTGTGGAGATAATCTGGCCTGGAAATAGAAAATAGCTTTTAAGAGAAGAAACTAAAAGTATTAAACCAGTAATAACTTAGTCACAGAACTGAAGAAATGGAAAAGATAGTTGTACCTTTGTTTAATTTAGTTATTTATTTATGTACAGTTATTTACGTTCTTAGTTATTTACACTTATTGTACTATCAAAAAGTATTTGATATAGTAAGCATTTGTGTTGCTCTACACTAATCCAACTGATGGTAGTATAATGAAGAAAATTTTGGGCCAGGTGTGTGGTGGTTCACACTATAATCCTAGCACTCTGGTAGGCCTAGGCAGGAGGATCGCTTGAGCTTAGGAGTTCGAGACCAACCTGAGCAAGAGCGAGACCCCGTCTCTATTGAAAATAGAAAAAATTAGCCGGATGTGGTGGCACACACTTGTAGTCACAGCTACTCAGGATGAAGCAAGAGGATCACTTGACCCAGGAGTTTGAGATTGCAGAGAGCTGTGTAGCTGGGGTGACAGAGTAAGACTGTCCAAAAGAATAAAAAGGAAAGAAAATTTGTGTCTGTATTGCCTACGATAAATCATTGCTCTCCAAAGTAGTTATTTTAAATCTACCTTAATTATATGCATTATGCCTAGGAGAAAAACAAATGCATTATATAAAATTCCTTATCTGATTTCTAGTAGTATAAGCCAATACAGAGGATTAAATAACTATACTCTTAACATTTTCAGGTAAATGTGTAAGAACTATTTGTTAAGATTCAGTTTATTTTTGTCAGTTGCATTAAAACTTTTGTCTTATTTTAGATTTAGAAACATGAAGGCCTGCAGGAACAATGAAAAACAATATGTAACTTTAAACCTGCTACACTTAATTTTAGTATAGTACCTATTAAATAATTCATCACCCTCTACATAGCTTCTAAATTTCACCTTTAAGCTTCTTTTGTTCCACTTTAAATTGTTTAAAGAAGAATATAACTTCTTCGGTAAACTAGATCCATTTTTATTTTCCCCTAGCAATATTTTATCTTTGAATATATCTTTGTGGAAAATAAACTTAATAATAGATATTTTCCTGTAAGAAATCTATTGTTTTATGGTACAGTATTTTATTGGTTTGTGTAGTGAAATTTAAGTAAAATTCCCCTTAAATTTGCACTGGATGAAAGGGTAACGCCAAGGGCAAATGTCATATTACCCAAAACCAGTTCTATGTAACATCTACTCAGGAGTTAAAATATTTAATCATCGTTATGCCCATCACTTGGTTTTTGCTTGTCTCCTAAGTACTGTCAGTTGCTTTAACAATTCCATATATGGTATTGTTTCCAGGTCCTTCATTTTGCTCAACTTCTATTTTTATTTTGATAGGGACAAATTAAAGTTTATCAGTGCTCTTCTGAAAACATAGCATCTGAAATTGAATCTCATGTTCCAGATGTGTTGTGATCAGATCGAATACAGTGGAATTTGCCTCCCATGTTTTAGTCATATTTGCACTTGATAAGTATGGCACACAAGACAAAGAGTATATTCTCTTTATTAATTGGTATCAAACTTGACTTTTTTTTTTGGAGACAGGGTCTCACTGTCACCCAGGCTGGAGTACAGTGATGCAATCATAGCTCACTGTAGCAGCCTCAAACTCCTGGGCTCAAGCAATCCTCCTGCCTCAGCCTCCCAAATAGCTGGGACTACAGGCTCATGCCACCATGTCTGACTGATTTTTTGTTTTTTTAAGAGACAGTCTTGCTATGTTGCAGGCTGGTCTCAAACTCCTAGTCTCAAGCATTCCTGCCTCAGCTTCCCAAAGTACTGGGATTACAGAGGTGAGCCATTGTACCTGGACAAACTTGACCTTTTTAAAAAATAAACCTTTAAAATCTAGACCTTCATCTTGTCATTGGACAATTGATATTTGTACATAAAATTAAGACCTTTCATTTGCACTTGCTTAACTTCATTTTGTTGTTTTTGACTGGTCATTAAATCAGTCCTTTATTTGTACTTTTGATTTTGGTGTGTCATATTAGCCAGTCTTCCAGGTTGTGTTATCTGTAGATTTGAAAGACATGTCTTTTTTATGAGTAGATTTTTTCCTAGAAATTTTCATGGATAAAGTCTAATCACATGCCTACTAGAGCCTCTCCTCCTGATTGATCTTGTTCTAGTATTTCATGCTTATTAAGATTGGTGGCTTAGCTGTCTATATAATCTCCTAACAGTATTCTCATTTAGCTCACCTTTCTATTTTGTCTTATGAGACTATTTCTCAGCATTACTGTCTTCCACATTCATTTGCTAAATATTGGTTCTTTGTAAGGTGTTCTGTCAGTGTTCTTTTTCAGTGTTCTATCCTCATCTCTTCATGGATAATCTCATCTACACCTATGGCTACAATTGGGATTTATATGCCAGTAACTCTCAAATCTATGTTTTCTGTTAACTTCTATCTGATCTTTAGGCTCATACATCCCAACTGCATACTGCTGTAGACA